AGGCCCAATTCAATTGATGATGTTCCTGTTGTATGCGAGTTTTCGGATGTGTTCCCCGAAGAGTTACTGGGTGTGCCTCCGGAGAGGCAAGTGGAGTTTCGTATCGATTTGGTTCCGGGAGCGGCGCCCATCGCCAAGGCGCCTTATCGTCTCGCTCCACCGAAAATGCAGGAGTTATCCTCGCAGCTTTAGGAGCTGTTGGGAAAGGGGTTCATTCGACCGAGTAGCTCACCTTGAGGAGCGCCGATTTTGTTCGTCAAGAAAAAGGTTGGTTCACACCGGATGTCTTTGGACTATCAAGATCTTTAGTATTATTGTATGATGTTTATTTCTCTTCCTGATTTTATAATCTTTTATGGATCGTTAACTGGTTCATTTAGAGTCGATGATGAGCTCCTATTCTTATAGTTTGTACAAAATTTAAATAATGGTGCAACTAGTTAACTGGAAAAAATGATTTTATGCAAAATATGGTTTCTGAGATAAAAATTAGCCAAGATTAATAAATATCGTTGAGACTTACAATTAAAATACCTAAAATAACGGTGCGATAATATTTTTGCATCGAGAAAACTTGTGAAAACAAATAAAAGTTTTAAATAGAAAAACTTCCTATATACTTTTTATTTAGTTGAAGTTAATTCCCTAACAATGACGCCAAAATGTTTATGTGTGATGGATAATCTATAAAAAATCATTTTAAAATACAAATATAATTTTAAATTTATAAAACGTAACTATTCAAACCGACTATCAACACCAGCCAGTGTATCTGATCAAGAATAATAAAGTTATGATAAGTAAGGGTGTCGAACTTAAAGGGAACGAATGTCTACTAAATACAATAGGCAAAGTACATTTGAATTAAAGAGAATTAAAGTATTAATAATTAATGATATTTTTAATTAGAATTAAAATCACTATATAACTATGGTTAATTCATATGAAGTGCAATAAAATTATGATAAATATTCACAGATTCCTAATTTGATTAGATTTGATGGTCAAGTCACTAATTATATAATTCTAAGTTGTTTACCAGCAATGATAGCTCATAGACCCAGTATATAAGTTCATATTTCTTAATGAATCAATATGTATGATTAGTCTCATGGTTAATGACAACTTCTCAAATTGTCCAAATTATTTTATTAATCATGAATATTAGCTTACGTTTCTTATGTTTGACATAGGGATGTCTCCATTAGTCAGATTTGTCTACGCA